TACATTCTGTCTTATGGCTGGTTACCTCTGCTCAGGTACCATGTGTCTGTTCTCACATCTTCCCCAGGCGAATCTCCCACATTGGACTCTATCCCCAAATCCTTTCTGCCTACTGGATGTCCCATCTTCTATTCTATCTTTTCCTATAGGCCATAGCTTTTCTCATTGACAGATGTTGCATCTATACAATACACAAGATATTCTCTCTACAATGATTCATAACAGCAGCAAAAATGCAGTTATGAAATAGTAACAACAAAAATAATTTGTGGTTGGGGGTCACTACACATGAGGAACTGTATTAAAGAGTTGCAGCATTAGGAAGGTTGAGAACCAGTGCTCTAGAGAAATCTGGCTAATATACCTCTTTTTGGTCAGGGTTATTCTGGAGCCTTTAAAAACAGTACAATCATTGCTCTTGATTGCCCAACAAAACTTGATGGTAAGACCCTATTGCTGAAAACACCACACATTTTGGTCACAGGAGATGATGAATTGAAGATAGCACTGACAAAGAAACTTTACCCCTGTTGCTTAGCTTTCATAGTACTGGAAGGTGCTATGTAGGTTGCAGGGGGTGGGGAGAGTCCTCAAGATTTTACTCAGTTGTAACCTCTATGAACTACAATAAAGACCAAGGTGGAAAGATACGCCCATGGAGGCAATAGTGGTGCTGGTGTAATAGGGGTAACCACCCAGTTCCTTCTTGGATTTAAGATCTGCATCACAGGAAATAAATAAATAAATGCTCAGTTCTGTAAATCTTGCCAAGAACTCCTAGTTGGAGAATTCATAGACCTCAGGAGTGCATCTAATGCTATTATTTTGCTAAATGGACACAATATCAAACTGCCTTCTAAATTTATATCTATGCCCATGGAATACTGCAGCCCTCAGACCTCATCAGAGAAGTTTCTTTGTGCAATAAAGGGTGGTTAAGCAGAAATCCACAAGTAGTCAAAGTGCAGAGTGTCAGTGAAGTGCTCAGTTACCATAAGACATCTATATCCCAGCCACCCTGCACGGCTTAGGGACTACCATGGAAGAGAGAGCCTAAGACTGGAGGTTAGGAGGACCAGACCTAAACAGTATTTTCTGGACATGACAGGACCACTGTAATAATGAACTCACAGCACCTGTAGTTGCCTGCACAAAATCAAGCCAATCAACATTCCAGCATGCAGCTCCAGTCCCTGGAGAATCTACTGACATCTAAAGGCATCTGGGGGAAAGAGAGTCAGGTTTTCTAAAAAGGGTGTGGCCCTTAGTAGGTCAACTTTAGTGTGTGGTCTTATAGTCATGAGTATTCAGGCAGCACAAATTTGACTCAGAGTTATTTAAACAAAATGACATAAAGTTGGGTAGAGGAGGTGTCGGATGGTTCTGGACAGAGTGAGGGGAGAAAAGAATTTAAAATTATTTGAAATTCTCAAAAGTATATACACATGTATATACATGTATATATATGTATATATGTGTGTGTGTATATATATATATATATGTATGTATGTATGTATGTATGTATGTATGTACGTACGTACGTATAATGGCTGGGAAAATTAAAAGAACTGAATTTCTTTTAATCAAAACCAATTCTGGGTCCTAAAGAGATGGCTCAGTGTTTAAGAGTGCATATGGTTCTTGCCAAGGATCCAAGTTCGGGTCTCAGTATCTATGACCGGTTATTTACAACTCACTGTAACTTCAGCTCTAGGAGATTTGGGATCCTCGTCCAGCATCTGCACATGTGCACACAAATAAATCTTAAAAAAAAGTTTTTGTGCTGAGGTGCCAGGGTAGAATTCAGTGCCTCAGTGTGCTAAACACATGTTCTTCCACCAAGTTCATTTCCAGTTAAAGAACTGACTTTCAAGTAATATTTATTTTTATAATTAAAAACTATAGAATTTATATAAGATTCAGTTATTAAAAAAATTTAAAGTATGCTTGCAACAACTTGGTGGGTAATTTATGTTGCGTGAATGGTAAAATGCTTTAATGAAAATTTATTTGTCTGATTTGAAACATGTAATCAGTGTAAAACACAATGTTTCAAAGTCTTAGGATACAAAAATAAAATACCAAATTTCAAAATTGAATACATGTTGAGATAAAAATTTATACATATTAAATAAAATGTAAGATTAATTGTCCATTTTACCCAGTGATTAAAAATGTTAAAACTATGTCTGGCTCACATATTTCTATTGGAATATATCATATACACATAATGTTATAACAGAATCTCTTTGTACACAGGTATATAAATTTAAAAGTATATCTACAACACAATTGCTGAACCTGAGGCTCAAGGATCATTGTGGAAAAGGGGCCAGAAAGGTTGTAAAAGCCAGAGAAACAGAGAGTTTGTTGTGAGATTGTGTCTCCTAGGCATGTCAGAAGTTTCACCAACATGACTGCCTAGACATGAGCTGAACAACGAAACCACCAACAGACATGCTTATGTGGAAGAGAGACAATTCATGAGGCCTCAGCCCTAGACAAAGAACAATGGGCAACAAAGGTATGCTGAGGAGAAATGGTCTTCCCCAGGGAAGGGCGGACCAACTGGTCATCCAGTTCTAAATGATCAGCCTTGGGGACATACAAACAGGTAACATTATACAGACTGAGAAGGTTGTATTTATGTCCTTAGGAAACACACATGCGCACGCATGCACAAGCACACACACACATACACACCTGCAGTTAACGAAAAAGGAGGTGATGAATTTGAGAGGGAACAAGGCAGGGTACAGGGAACGGCTTAGAGGGAGGAAAGGGAAGGGATAAATGAAATAATTGTATTATAATCTCGAAAATGAAAATTATTTTTTAAAAGGACATAAATTCTAAAATGTTTAAGCTGGGCATGGTGGCACACACCTTTAATCCCAGAACTTGGGAGGTGGGCCAGCCTGCTTTATACCTACCATCCAACCAACCAACCATCCAACCAGCTAAAAAATGTTTGAGATTTGAGTTAAACCCCTGAGATCTAAAATGCTGGAAGTTGGAGAGCAGGGAGAAAAAAACATTCATGTAAAGGCAGCTAATACTGGTGTATTGTGAAACCGACACAAAGCCATACCTGGTAAGAGGGATTCTTAACTGAGGAACCACCTCTATCAGACTGCCCTGTAGGCGTGTCTGTTGGGCATTTTCTTTGTTGATAATTGAGGTAGGAGGGCAGTGCCATCCTGGGACAGGTGGGCCTGGACTATGGGAGGACAAGGAAAGCAGACGGGCAAGGCAAGGCGAGCAAGCCAGTAAGCAGCTGTGGTTTCTTCTTCCTGCCTTGGTTTCTCCTTGACCAAGGCTAAGATGAAATACGCCTTTTGCTCCCAAGTTGCTTTTGGCTATAGTGTTTATTACAGTGACAGAAGTTCTCTCTTTCACTCACTGTCACTGTAAATGAAGCCATTTCAAGACTTTTGGCTGAAAATCTGTAATCCTCTTTTAAGTTCTGGGTAAAACAATAGTCAGGCTGAGAAAGCTGCTTCCATGATAATTGACTTGTACCACAGAAGGCATTGTGATACAAGCACATGATATATGTACATACATGCACTCAGACACCCATGGGGGCTTTTGGCTATCCAATTTTCGTATCCCAAACAGCCTAAATTTTTAAATGTCTGATATAAATTTGGGATTCTAATTTTGTGGCTCTCCTCCGTAGTGTGCTCTTCCTGGAGGATTATCGGGAAAGCCGGCCAGAGGTTTTACCCTGAGCTAGAGGCAAGAACTCTTCATTTTAAGGAGAACTTCCCAGGGACTGTACATGTGTCTTTATTTTTACTTCAAGTGAATCTTCCGTTAGTTCATTCTGTTTATTTACCCGCCAATCATGTGTTCCACGATGTGAATTTTGATCCCATGCTTGTGACAGGCGCTTCCCTCCCACTAGCGCCTTTTCCGCTGACTCCTTTGCACTTGCCTTCTCTGTATTCTATTATGTTAACTACGTTGTGACTCACGAGGAACGGATGTGCCAGTGACGGATGCTGCCAGTCAAAGTATGGCACAGCATTGCTTTCAACTACAGCCATATCCTGAGACTTTATGTGAACATTTTGTCTCTGATGAAATACGGCAGCTGTGTTCCCTAGTCTCCTGCCGAGATCCACACCGAGGCTTCTGGCGGGGCATTTTACATTCCTTTCTGGCACCTGAGCTCTCCGTGGCTCCCTCAACTATCTGCTATTTTCTTCTGAATCCTAAATCATGGCCAACAACACACTCCAAATGTACACTTCAGTCAGCCGGTCTTCGAGGAGCTTCTGCGATTGCTGCTGGTATTGGGATCTTCTCGGCTGTTCCTCAGAGGTAGGCAGTTTATAAACACTTGAAGGTTGATGGACAGCCCCACACTGTGGTTCTCAAGGGTCACTTCCTGCCGGATTTGGTACATGCCTATAATCCTGGCATGTGCCAGGTAGAGGGAGGAGAACCAATACAAATACATGTTTGGCTACATGGTGCATTTGAGGCCAGCCTGAGTACATGAGACTGTCTCAAAACACACAAAAATTAAAACGTTTTTCCTCAGAGTTTGTTTGACCATACTTCCTGTTCTCTGTCTTAAAATGGGTTCCTTACTTATGGCAAAACAGTCCATCAGTGTTTAAACATTCATTCAGCTGAATCTTTTACCTCCGTTCAACACACCTAACTTTTCGGGAGCAACGCTGTCCTGGGTGTGACAAAAAGCTTGCAGCCAGGAGGAAGCACAGAATGTAAGCGCTTGCAATGAGCAGTAGTGAGCTTTTAGGTTTTCTGTGCTGGAAGGAACCTGCCTGTCTGTAGACCCTGCATGCTTCAAGGGGCTGGCTGTGTCTGATCACGTGATTAGAACAAACCATTACCACAGTAAACCCACTCCTCCCACCTCTACACATCATTTCTTTCTATATGACCATTTACATATGAAGATGGTTTGATTGGTATCCCCACAGACTTAAGACAAAAAGGACACAATGGACATTTCAATAGCACTTTCTACAAAAAGAATACTTTATTCAAAAATAGGATCTTTTCAAAAAGAGAAAACTTTTATGTACAGTAACTTTGTTTAGAAACAGTCAAAAGCATAATAAGAGAAATTGAGATTCCAAAATTATGATTCGTAACATGCAATACTGCTGTTGAAGTCTTTCTCTTACCATACACATTTCAGTAATTCACATTTGTTAAGACAGTGTTAGGGATGACAGAGAAGTTGTGTATGGAATCTTTCCTCCTACAGGCCACCCTTCCTGGAAGACATAGAAATGGCAATGGCTTGGCAGTGCAATGTTCAACATGTGATTTAAAAAGTGGGAAAAATGGTTCCTGCCTCTCAAACCTAAGATCTGGAAAGAAATTTATTTTTTTTTCTAACTTTCAGAAGTTTTACTGTTCGTATTCACAAGCAAAATCAGAGTAATCTTAAAAGACAAAAAGTGACTTCAAGTGGTATTTTGGATTATGCCTTCATGCTCTGGCCAGAGGGAGTTCATTACAATGAGTAGCGATGTGGGAGCAGAGCCCTAGACACCTCGGTTTCTGAGAGTGCGGCCAGGCCCTTACTGACAGTGATTACAAGGAAAACGCAAAGCCTTGGCTGCTCATTGTCTCAACCTTCAGAGAAAACCTCACGTTCTGCTCACCCTGCCCAGGAAGAGACAAGGAGGAAACTGGGGAGGACTGCTTGTTAATTTTACATTGTTTAATAATTAGAGGAATGCTGCAGCCAATGAAGGTCACTATTTACAAGTAAAAATATTCAACACAGGCCATAAAAAATAATGGAACTCGCAAAAGACTAGAACTTGATTCAGTGAAAATCATAGAAACAGTACTTCTGGGTGGTTTCAGCCTTCCTCTATAAATCACACGATATAATTCCTTCCCTCTACTGCCACTTTGGTTGGGTTGCTAAGTACCTGGTACCTTTCTTAGTCATTAGTTACATCACTTCCTGTAGGATCTCATATCCAATAGGCATTTTTTTTTGACCCCAAAATCCTCTTAATGACATCACAGGAATAAATGCAAACTGCCTGCCAACAAAAGCTACTTGTCACATAGTCAATTGTCATTCTTCATATAAATAACATCTATAAGGAACAAAATGAAGTTGCCAATGAACTTATCTGAAGCAAATATACAAAGCTCTTAACAAAAACAGGCCGACTGCAAAAGGCCAAATATAAAAAGATTAGCTATACATCAAACTGTCATCCAACACATTTTAATAATTAAATAGTTAAATATAACACTGGATCAAAAATGATCCCAGACAGTGAAAGGACTAATCCCGCTAATCCCACAATTTAATGAGGCCATCCCAACCACACGTGATGACCTTGGATGTCTCATGGGGATGCCATACTGCGCCTATGCACACTTTGTCATGGGCTTTAAAGCGACTGTAGAGTTTGGTGGTCTTCCAGTCCCAAATGTTTAACTTTCCATTTCCGTCTCCTGAAATCACGTAGCTGCAACAGAATGAAAACCAACCTTAATTATTCATACACCTTAAGCTGGTGAAAAAGTGAAGGGAGCTTATCCCTTTACCGTAAGAAATACTCAGAAGAATCAATGAATGAGGCAGTCTGTGGCTGAACCCCTCCCGCCCCTCCCCCCAGTAAGCTGCCAGTCTAAGAGCTAGAAATCTCTTTGTCACCGAGGAGCCTGGATGTCTCTAGACAGGCAGACTGCACAGGGGAACCAGCATCACATATAGCCAGGGAACATGGTAGGCACGCTGGACTGCAGGAACTTTTACACATCTGTTGCCTCAATATGATTGAACACGTTGAAGACTGAGTCATAGGCAGGCATCTGAGGCCTAATTACCACGCTAAAGATACAAAGACGCAAGGCTATCTGAGTTCTTCAACCTGTGTATCTTTAGCTAAGAGTAGGGAAACGAATAAAAAAATCTCACTAATTGTGACCTAGAAATATCCAAAAAGCTACATTTCAGTTTTCAGTGTAGACGAATCTGTAGACAATATATGAAGCTCCATTCAAATCTGTGATGCAGAGCTCTGGCATCCACTCAGCCATGGGGATGAGAGAGAAAAAAGTCATGTTGTTTTAGACAGGAGTGCGTCAGGTAGGCGGATAAAGGGCACAGCCTAAGTAATATCAGAAAAGAGATTGAGGAAGACCCTACAAAAAAGCAAAATCCAATTTTCTGAACGTGTTCTTGACTTTATGACTGTTCTGTCATTTTGAAGCCACAGTTGTCACGCGACTACAGTCACAGTGACTCGTGGAGCACTGTTATTGGAGTGCTACTCTACACGCCATCATATGCGAGTCTGAAGACTTCAACTTACCTCATGTCCGGTGAGAAGTCCACCTGGCAAGCATAGCCTGCTACCATATGGCCCTTAAAAATTTTCTTCTTATTTAATCTGAATCTGTTCTGTGCTCCAAAAATTAAGATCTGGTTATCCATTGACTGGCATGCTAGCCATTTCCCTGTAAAATGCAAAAATTGGCATATTTTAGAGGAAGCGTGAAACATTTCTTAACGTTTATTTACAAGTGTGATGCGGGTGGGTTCACTGACCAAGCAGCACACTGTGTGACCTAGCGTTACCACATTCAAAAATCTACACAAATGGGCATGAGAACTAACTTCTCAGTGTCAGACAGGATCATAAAACTGCTTTAAAGAATCTTTTATATGTAAATTGCTAAACTGTTCTCATTTTGAAGAGACAGACCAACATTTCCTATTCCCTTGAAAGAAAAGTGCCTATTAAACGATATATTGAGCCTGATTTGTGTTGGAAGGGAAATCATTAAAAAGAAACAACAACAACAACAAAAACCCCCAACTGTCAGAAATCCAAAATGTCAACTATAAATCACCTATTCTTTTATTTTTCCTAAACAAGAGAGTGGGAGGGGTGATTCACACAGGAAACCCAGTAACCACTCCTAATATTGAGAAGGTTTCCTTACACAAGGATGGCGGCACACTGACTCCCCCTAAGTGGAGCGCCCCAGTTCTTGTGAGTCCAGCAATTACTCTGCATCTCGGAGCACGTTCTGTGTGCCAACTCACCATTGGGAGACAAAGTCACCGCAGGCATTGAGTGCATGCTGGGCTCCGCTATGTACTTAAAATCCACAGGGATATCCCTAAAGGTTGAAAAGAGCATACAGATCAGAATGAGTAGTTCACAAAGGCACTTTTAGAAGAATTGCCCAAATGTACCCGTGTAACAGCAACTTGCCTTTTCATTAAACTTCCAGGGTGGCGTGTACTACTAAAAAGCTTTTATTTCAAAAATGACTTTCCATGAAAATTATATTAGTGTCAGAAGTTGTATTTTCTAACTATTGACCTTTGGCCCTTGTATTACTATTCTTTAATGATGAAGTCAGCTTAAAAGGCAGCAACAAGATGCTTCAGCAAGCCTATGAGGAATGCTATTACCTGCCCGCCAACCTTCCCTCATTCCCTCGTGAGCACGTGGAATGTTAAAAAGCCCAGCAGTGAGCAGGACGACAGGCAGGGCTGCAGGGATCGGCGTGTGCTGGTTTTATCTGCCCAGAAATAACGACCCAGGCCACCGAGTTTAAGTGCTTGTAGCAAGCCTATTTACAGTTTACATATAAAGCATTTCCACAGTGTATAGTACAGGACAAAAGGCAAACTACAGAACAGCAAAAACTTCATGATAAAAACGCCTGAATACAAAACAAAACTCAAAAGTTTTCACTTAAATTGAGAACCAGTTATACTAAGTACTGTTTCATTTTCATTATTTTTCATAATAAAAGTTATTTGGTAATTCGGGGAGGAGTTTTGATGCTGCTTCCTACGGGATCCACAGTGTTTGTGTGGAGTATTGTAATCTGATGAAACACTATGAGGCGAAGAACAATTTCAAATTATGGTATGATTCGAGTTTCAATACTTTGCTTAACTGGGAAGTAATTTGCTGAATTAGAAAATAATTATACTTTGCCTCAGGTTCAGATTTCTCTCTTAGGTTATCCAAAACACCTCTAGAAGGAACAAATGACTAGAGGAAAAAGACTTCTGTTGCAGCCAGGGAAGTGACATTTGCCTGCTCCCAGGACTCACATTTCTAAGCGCAGTGAAATGCATCTTTCTAAATGACCCAAGTCTATGAAGGCTCAGTTTTTAAAAAAGATTCATGTTCCCCACCTTCGTATCTGTCACTAGTAGGTACTGAATTTTATAACACGGATTGGAACAAGAGCACTTTCTAAATTAACCAACCATACTGTAGGTTCACATCTTTAGTAGACATAGCAAAAAAGTTCCAGGGTCCTATTTCAGGAAGTCTTAGTATTTGGTAAATAAGCTAGAACAGTGGTCCTCAACCTGTGGATACAACCCCTTCGGGGGCTGAACAGCCCTTCGCGGGGTCACATATCGGATCTCCCGCATATCAGAGATTTATATCATGACTCACAACAGTAACGAAGTTACAGGAATGAAGTAGCAACAAATAATTTTATATTGGGGATCTCTACAATGTGAGGACTTGTATTAAAGGGTCTCATTAGGAAGGCTGAGAACCACTGAGCTAGAACAGGAACTGAATCTGGGCTACCTCTGGAACCTCACTAGTTCTGGCAAAAATGCCTGCTAGGCACAGTGAAACTTCATTAGACCCTGTAACTCAATATAACAGGGTTGGAACCGATTTCAGATAATCTGGTTTGGAAATGAGCTTAGTGAAAGTTAATGAGTCTGTGGCATTTTAAAAACAAAAGGTAACTAGCGATGTTTATCAATTTCTGTAAATTTCCTTTAAAAATATTTCACCAAAATAAACATCTTTGGTTGAAAGAAAAAAATAAAACCCTCAGAGCAACCAACCCCTATGCCTGCTGACAAGCTTTTGGCTGACTCACAGGCCACAGCTGCTGGTATCTGCCATCCCCCCCTTCTCCTGCTCAACTACGCTACCGCCTTGCCTGTACAGCACTGCTGAAGAAAGCCCAGCCTCCCCTGGTTGTTTTAAGTCTTTCTTTTCATGTGTATGGGTGTCATATTTACATGTATGGCTGAACACCGTATGTGTGCTGGGTGACTGTGGAAGTCAGAAGGCATCAGATGCCCCAGAACTGGAGGTGTACAGGGTGTTCTGAGCTGCCACGTGGGTGGTGGGAATGGAACCTGCATCCTCTGGAGTAGCAAGCAGCTGGTTCTTTTCCTTTATCACGGTGCTATGCCACAACGAGGCAGCGGATAGTTAAGTTTGGAAAATCTCCTCCTGTGCAGAGGCCCCAGTGCTGGGAGCGTCCTGCCCCTGGGGAGTCTCTGTGCTCAGGGCTCCCTCCCCCCGTGCTGGCATCAGGGTAACCAGCAGTTACTCTCAGGCAGAGAGATCTGGGGTGATGAGCTGCTTTGCTCTCCACTAAGCAGAAGCGAATTACCTTCTCCCTACAAGTCTCCCCATCTTTCCCTCCCCCACCCCGTGTAGCCACAAACTCAAGTTGTGAAATCAGTGGGACCTGCAGTTTGACTTTTGACATTTTCGTGTCCTATGTAACCTTAGGCAAACCTTAAGCTTTGTTAGCTTCCTTATATGAAAAAAGAAAGAGCCCACCACACATAAGGCTGCTCTGCACATCACGTCAGAGTCCACATAAAATGTTTATCTTGGTGACTGCCGTTTGGACGCACTAGCTCCACCACTGTATCTCCACTAATGACTGGACCAGTACGGACTTCTGATGACTGGGGAGGTGGCTCAGGGCCTAAGAGTGCTTGTTGTGTAGGCGTGAGGACCGGAGTTCAAATCCCTAGCACCTCTGTAATAGCGAGGCATGAGTGTGAGATAGAGGAAGACACCTGACGTCCTTTTCTGGCCTTTGCATACATCACCCACACGTGTGTGCATACAGCATATGTACACACCCCAAACCATCCAAACTTCGCGTTCACATCACATTCTCTGAAAGCCCCCCCCCCTTCCTTTCTTTCACTTTGAATGGAGCTTGGGGCCTTGCACATGCTAGGCCGGCGCTCTCCCACTGCGCTCAATCTCTAGGCCTAAGATTCAGCATTTGTGAAGACCGTAGTTTTAAACCATGAACGGTAAGGGTGAATGAGGCTAAATGTTAAGATTAGATACAAAATCCAGTCAGTGTCCTTGGGGATGATCTGCAACAGTACAGCGATGGTACGGAAGTTGCCAGTTGCACTGAACCTGAGATGCGCTCAATTATCTTGACGGTACTGAGAGCCTGTCTGGCTCTCCTTGAGAGGCAGGCTGAGGAGGGAACCGCTGGCTGTGGTTCAAGGCCTTGCTTTCTTTTAAAGTGCAGCTTCTGGGGGGGGGGGGGGGAGGTGAACGCTCTAGTCCTGGCTAGGCAGTGGTCTCCACTGAGCTGTGCTCTGTGACTATAAAATCAAGCCGGGTTCCACCCAAGAACTGATTTTAATAAGAACCATCATCACTTATTTCTTTGCAAATAAATCATAAAACTATCATGACAAATAATGAAACCAGCTGAAGAATTTTTTTTTTTTTTTACTTTAGAAAAACTTTTTTCTTGAAAAGGAAAAAAATAGTCAATATATTCTGATTATATTCAACAAGCAAAATGTTGAAAGCTGATGATACGAGGCAACTTAAAGCATGGATGATTACAAAGCAGACATTAAGAAAACCGAGAGCTAACCACATTGGTATTTTCTTTGGATTTGTTCTCAGTCCAGGATCTTTATGTGTGACCCGCACAAAACCAAATGTAGCCAGACATCCGACAACTTGCCTGCCAAAGATGAGTAAGACATCTAAGAAGGACTGAGAGGGAGCTGGCAGGATGACTCGGTGGGTAACAGTGCTGCTGTGCAAACTTGATGACCCGAGTTTGATCTCTAGAAACCCCAGTGATAGGAGCACTGACCCCTGAGAGTTGTCTTTTGACTCTACACATGTGCAGCGAAACACACGCCAACACTTACACACATACGAATCCAAAAATAATAAATAGAAATTTAAAAAAGAGCTGGAGAGATGGTTCAGTGGTCAAAAGCACTGGCTGTTCTTCCTGGTTCTATTCCCAGTAACAAACATGGCAGCTCACAACTGTCTGTAACTCCAGTTCCAGGGGATTTAAACACCCTCACATCAATGCACATAAATAAATTACATATAATTCATTTAAAAATTTTAAAGAAGAACGTGAGATATGACAGTTAACAGTTATCATGACCACAAAAAACAAAAATAAACAACAACAATGACAAAAACCCAGTTCAAATCTTTGGGGAGATTCTCCAAAGACTGTGAAGGATAGTATAAATATTAGTTCTCAATTTCCAAACTGTCGGGGTACTTAAATAATTAAAACACTTTGGCTGGAAAAGTATGCAAATAGCTGCACATTATCAGGCTTTGGCTATAGTTTTTTAATTGTTGTTTCATAAAAGATTTTTTTTACTGATGAAAACTCACCATTCCCAAACTCGTAGGCTCTTATCATCAGATGTACTCACAAATCTTCGATTCTCATCAACAAAAACAATAGTGTTGACAGCTCCCAAATGCCGGTCATATTCCTGAACGACCTCTCCACTGCGAATGTCCCACTGTGTAGCAATGAGAGGGAAGGCACAGAGGTAAGAGGACTCATGAAAACCAGCAAAACACACCTTGGAACCTAAAGACTCTAAGCACCCTGGTTTATGAACTGACTGCTTCCCTCTAAGCACGACATGGATGGACCCTCAAAGGAGCAGACATCAACCACGTGACCGTCCTGCTCTCTTCACAACACAATCTGAAGCTCCAATCCCGACAGATGGACTGAAGAAAGACTTACCTGCACGATCTTTTTATCAGACATCCCAGCCACAAAGAGATTCTGCTTATCTTCGTCGGGATTGAACTTGACACAGTAGGGCACTTTGCGGTTGGTAAATCTTGATATACACTGTCCTAAACCGAAGAGTCAAATTAAACAAGAAACATAAGTTTCACTCCCGAGGGATGACAACGGCATGAAGATCTATTGAGCAGCCAGCCCTTACTGAATTCTGAGGAAGGGCAGCTTGCTTGCTCTTAAAGCCACTACATTGATACTTTTCATAGATTTTTTTATGATTACAAACATCATTTTTAGGAGCTGGGGAGAGGCCTCAGGTGATAACCATGCTTTCTGTGCAAGTGTGAGGACTTGAGAAGAATCACCAGCAATCATGTCAACAGCCAGGCATGGCTGTGTATGTCCGTAAACCCAGCACTGAGGGCAGAGACAGGAATCCTGGGAGCTTGCTGGTTAGCCAGTGTGGAGAAACTGTTAAGCTTTCAGTTTAGTGAGACCCTACATCAAGGCAGTAAGGTGGATGTGTACACACACGTACATATGTATGTGTACACACACACACACACACACACACACACACACACACACACACCAAAAGTAATGTACCAGCAGTTCTGGAGAAACATTCTAAGTACATCAGTGCAGAGGACTATTTTGAGCAACAGAGAACATTACTGATACAAGCCATGAGAGTAACTCATCATGTCCAGCTGAGTGATGAGTTAGAAATAAAGAGAAAATACTGCGCGATTCTATCTCCAAGTTTAAGAGCAGGCACAGGATCTGTGGTGACAGCTGTTCCTGTGGCTGCTGGGAGAGGGTGCAGACCAGGAAAGGGCCCTGGAGGCTGGAATGCTATAAGCCTTGATCTCAGTGGCATTAACATCGCTGAACCCCTGTGCACTTTATGCTTTTGGCATATCTTAATTTTTAAGAGCTGTAGGATGGGTGCCTCTCAGCCTTGGGGACACTGGAGAAGCCCCTAGTCCATATACTGCACCAATCACATAAGAAGGGGAGGTGGAGCCCAGGCAGGAGTGACTCTGAGCTTCTCCAGGTGCCACCAACGTGCAGCCAGAACGAAGAATGGCCGCCAGCAAGGGGAGGGAGCTAGGCTGGACTCAAGTTAGGAAATTTAGACTTGGCTTTTCTGTAGGGTCTTCCTCAGTCTATTTTCTGGTACTATTTAGGCCTGTGCCCTTTAACTACCTAATGCATGCCTGTCTATCATGACTTTTTTCTTTGTTTTTCTATGTTGCTACAGTTTGAATCCAACTTGCCGCTTACTTAGATGTGTGCTCCTGAGAAATATACCTTTAGTGCCAGGTTCCTCATCTGTAATGTAAGACTACCACCCACCTCTATGGGTGTGTTACAATCAAATTATATATGCATATATGCATACATACATTTACATATATCCTCAGCATAGTCAATGTCCACTAAATATTCTTTATTATCATTAAACTTGACTTTATTTTCAGACTGGGTCTTACTCGGCAGCCCAGGCTGGCCTTGAACTCATATCTTCCTGCCTCAGCCTCCTGAAAGGCCATGTACCTTCACGCCTCCTAACTTTCTAACACTATAAAATACAAAACCACAAATACCAATGCAGGCAAACTGACTGGTCTATGTGAGGTCGGATCTACCGTGGGTAACTGAACTAAGTTTTGCTTTTGGTCTGTGCAATGCACTGCAGTGGGAGATGCGGGGAAATAGAGAGATCAGTCAGCTGGTGTACAGAACAGCGTGCGCTTGTCTGTCTATCAGTGTTTGCCGTGTATCCACAGAGGTGAGAAAAGTGCTTCCCAGGCTGTAAGGATGAGCTCCAGTCTACATGTACATGGTGCTATCAGCTGTTCCAATACTGAGAGCTGGCAGCTGGAGGAGGCATCATTTCACCACAGGGCCGGTGTTAGGGTCCACACAGGAATGCTAGCCCAGGAGAGTAACGCACACTCACCTGTCTCAGTGTCCCAAAGCTTAAGGTACCTGTCGTAGGCTGCGCTGAGGAACTGTGTTCCTGCGGTGTTGAAGCAGATGTCTCTCACAGCTTTACTGTGACCTAGAGGCGGAGCCAACAGAAGCTATGGTCAGGAGCTGTCTCTGCGTGAGCACTCCAAGAGAAGTTAGACAGGGGTGTCAAGGACGCTGTGGTCAGGATCCCCAACCCCAACTGCCTGAGGCTTAAGGGTGACTGTTTCCCTTCCTTGTAGATGCAGGTGGCTCTGATGCCTTACACTTCCGCAAGGATCAAGAGAAAACATCTACTTAAAAAAAATTTTGTTGTAGTATCTTTTTCTGTTTGTTTGTCTGTTTTGTTTTTTCATGACAGGATTTCTCTGGATAGCCCTGGCTGTCTTGGAGCACGCTTTGTAGACCATGCTGATTTGCCTGCCTCCCCTCCTGCTGGGATTACCACCGCGGCCCAGGATCTTTTAGTATGCAATGTGCATGCTGATGCATTTACTGAGAGCTAAAGTTCTGATTATTGCTCATGAAAGAAACAAAGCTGAGATTTGAGGCTCACTTCCAGTTTCCTCACCATGCTAGAAGTAAAAACAAAGTGTCCCAAACCTCAAGTCCAGGAAATTATAGCCCTTATTCAGTAATTGTATATTTCTGTGATGACATTACTCAATTTCATAGACATTGACTGAAAACTATGATGTTAGCTGCATTTTCTAGAAGATGGTATTCCGATACTAAATTAACTTCAAGGCACCGATCATACTTTACTTGGACGTCAACCTTGCAGGCCAATAAATCTTCTCCAAGTTTTGAGACAAATAAAATGTAGATAAGAAAAGCAGAAAAATCCCATTTTTCACCATGACCAGGACACAAATAACTTCACAAAATGTGCCTGGCTCCAACTGTCAACCATGGGCTACATCCTGGAACCACCTCCACCACAGAACTCCAGTCAGGCGGGTGCGGTGCAGCATATGAGCCATGGCAACGCGCATGGCAACTAGAGCCCCTCTGCAGAGTAGCTATTTGTAGAGAATTCCAGTCTCCCCTTCACCCCCCGAATATTCTGGCAATATTCTGGTGAGGCCGATGGAGAGCAAACCCGCTGTATCTGAGGGGCATTTTATTCCCCTTCAGACAGTTAACTGTTGCCCTAGGGGTGTGCTGGGGTGGCATCTCAGTATCTATCTGCACAGATCACCCATACCACCGTACCCTTAGCACAGCATGGGAGAACAGACTCCCACTTTAATCTAAAAACAGAGCCACTGTGAGCCACAGCACGTCAATGTGGTACAGTTAAATTTGGAAAAAGTAATGAGAAGCGACAAGGACAGAAAAGTCTTTGTCAGAAAGGCTACTCTGGCACACAGCCTATCCTCCTTTTAGTCCACTTCTTATCTTTAAGGAGTTTCCTCAATCACATTTTTTATGTTCCAGCTGCTAGCTCCCAACCTCGTCCTAAAGCTTCACCTATGGCTGCTGCTTACTGGCTGTCTTCACAGGCTGCTCAGCTATACAAGCTCAGACCTCTGCCCCCTCCCTTGCTGGAGGGCAGTCACTACCATTCACCTGGCTACCTGGGGTCATCCACGGTCCCTGCCATCCATCACTCCTGTTACCGAATCTCATTACATTCTTTTTCTGTCTCTGTGCTTTTGTCAAACTCTCACCATTTTTAATAGAGACTAATAAAATAACTGTATAGTTTATTTTCTTACTACCTATCAAAGTGTCCTCCATATTGCCACATAATCTGTGTACACTTCCAATCACATTACTTCTAGTAAGGGCTGTTAAATGGCTCTTCACTGCCATTAGGATACAGTCTCTTTCATTAGTGGCATGACTGGTTCTCCAGGCCTTGGTTCCCTTTCTATTTTCAGCCACACTTGTCCCTCTCCTATATGCTGGCAATCGTTATGTCACGTGGCCCCCAACGCAGCACACTTTCTCATGACATTTGTGTTTCCACCATTCTCACTCACCTCCTAGTCCTCTCTGCAAACCGAGAGAGATTTATTTCTTTATGACTCAGCTCAGGTCTATGAATACTTCCTTCACATCAGGGCAGTAAAATTACTGCTGATGATGTTATCTTTCTTGCAAAAGCTTTTCTAAACAGATTTATAGACAGAGAGAAAAAGAAATATTACCAATAAATGTTCTCAGACAGCGCCGGTCTCCATAAACTTCCCATAGCTGGAGAAAAAAAAAAAATGAAAATATTAACTGTTTCTTTATGGCGTTGGAAATTGAACCCAGGGCCTCATGTATACTAAGAACGTGCTCTGCCAGTGAGCGAAGGCCCTAGCCCTGGGGTATCAACTTTAATACAAGTCTTTATCAGTAACAATAGTTATTTGCTAGCTGTATGTATGTGTGTGTGTATACACATCCTGTGGGCACAGTGGATTTAATTGGTAAGTACTGGTTAGTTTGCCGGTCTGTTATATTTTTGGGACACAGATTATATACAAACATATTTTTTATACTTGAAGAGGTTTTTACATCAAAGCACCAAGAAGATTTAGCTACAGAGGGAGTTTATCTGAGTACTTCCATTTCTTATTGTTTTTTTTCTTTTATATTTTATGTATTTTTCTATGAGGAACAGTTTTTAAAGGAATTAAATGTATTAGGATTGCTGTTACGAGTCACTTTAATATTGAAAAGTGTTTTTAAAAAATCTTTTCTGGTTAATGTACATAATCTGTATGAAAGTAGTATCAATGGCTCATAATTCTAATCATTGCTAAAGCAGATAAATACAAAGATTTCAAAACTAGTGCTGCTTTTGTCTACCTCAAGTTACCCTGACAATGTTGCTGTGCTCTAAGACTGAAAGCATTTTCTGGCCACCTAATGCCAACCAGAGAGAAGCCTCATGTTCCATACATGCCAGGCAAGAACCTCTGGGCCCTACGCCCTTGCTTCGGACTGTAATTATTATTTTTTTCAAATATTTTAAGCTCTGACAGCCACAAAACTGCTATAGGTTTCAGCATACATCATGCTGATTCATTGTCTTCACTCTCCCAAAGCATGCTCTACTCTCCCTGTCCCTCTCCCCACAGTCCCCACCCCTTTCCTTGGCCTTCCTGCAAAGGCATGCTTCTTGTAAAGCTAGAACCGGCTCCTGTGCCTGCCTGTGTCATGTGAGCAACCTGAGATGATCATTCCCAGGAAGAGTCCATACTTTCAAACCTTTGATAGTATAATCCCTCTGTCCGCAACAGGTACCTGATAAATGTCTACCTGAGCTACATTCAACTTTATGTTTTATCTCTTGATCCAAGGGAGGATCATAATTTCAATGTATAAAGTGAAAGTTAAAGAAAATTAGGGATTTTCTGGGAAACTGTTTTAATTAAAGGCAAACTGTTTCTATTATAGACTAATGCCTGAATGGCTGCTCCCACTAAAAGCAGTGGCTTTATATACTGATAGTACTCATCAATACTTAAAAAGTCTAAAGCCTTACCAATGTCACTGTCCAAGCCACAAGAATACTACAGGGTTAGTATTTATTGAGCTACCACAATGATCTGGACACAGAAGAGACACTACCATACCAACTATTCTTTAAAACTTAAGGTTTCAAAGAAGTTTTCTTTGCACTGAGTTGCAAGAATAACAGCTTGCCGCTCCTGTCACTCTGCAGCTGGGAGGAAGGTTCAGATGGGGCTTCCTGAGAGCACCAGGAGCAGGAGAGGGCTGAGGGCACTACTGGTTGGTGTCCAGTGTTCAAAGGGGAAGGATAAAATAAATTAGACTGTCTACTCAGCCAGTCTGAGCAACAAACAAACTCAGTTACATATCCATAACCTCTATAAAAAATGCATTATTCCTGATTCAATATTTATGTGCCCAATGCCAAAGTGATTGGATTATATCCTAATCAGTTGTCTGAGCTTTAAAAAGAGTCCAGCCAATTGGACCACAGAGCCATGTCTGAATGTACAAGTTTGGAAGCAGTCCACAAATAGCTACATCCATAGGGCTTAACAGAAAATAATTAGCCTCTAATTGCCTAACAACCACATATTTATTTATGACTAATCAAACAGACTGAACCATAGCACTGGTTCTATAGCACTCTCCCCGGGTTACTGAAAACTCACCTTAATTTTACAGTCCATGGAACACGACAGCAACAAATGTCCAGAGAGAGGAAACAGCCTGACTGCACTGACACCCTGGAAAGAGGCATCACGTCATTGCCCTGCTGCATTCAAAAGACAGTATCCCACAAGCAACCTAATTTGCCATTTTTCTTTATTCCAAACATCATGTTTTAGAATAGCCTTCATCAGTGTTCCAGGAGGCCTTATCTCAATACCAAGCTATTGAAGGCTTTTTATTTTAAAAACTTCCGATTCACTTCCTTATCTGAGCCAGTCAGACTGTTACATGCCTACTTCTTTCCCTTATTTCCTTGGTCTTGGCAAAGACCTGGAAATTAACAGCTGGAATAGTGCAGACAACAAAGACATCAGCCTCTTAAGTTTGCAAATACCTCATTTTGCATTATTTTAAATACTACCTTGGCCTAGACAGCAAGGGACATCTACTCTCTGCTGTGTAATAACCCAGGAGCCACAGCAACATTCCTGAGGCTGGGTACCATCTGCCCATTATTCACTGTGTGGTGCCAAGAAGAAGCAGATGGCAGTAGGAACTTGTGGGAAAACGAACAAGCGACAGTATGAGGGATGGACACTGACCCATAAAGCTTAGGTCATGGCCAACCTGGATAGCCTTGCAGACTGATGAGCCACTATTCCATGAGGCGTTTCCAAAGCCTAGCTCGCATTTACCTGAATCTGATGCTCCTATTCTGTCTACCTTCCCTGTGTCAACAGCTAAAACTCTGCACTGGCTTCCTTCTGTGTTTTATATTGGGAACACTCAACTGTCTTACCTTTGTGTGTCCAGACCACATATGAATTTGTTTTTTTGGTAGGTAACATTTTTCAGGTGGCACAGATGACCTTAGATTAACACCAACATCCTGAGGTATGTGAAGGTAGGACCTGCCTTGATAGTCGTACATTTCTTTAACTAGAATAAAATGTCAAAAGAAAGCCACAAATAAGCATAAACCATAGTCATGAAATCTGTATTCTTAAAATAGTAACAAATTCTCAGGTATACTGTCCTTATTAAGATCATGGTCTGGCTCAAATTAAGCTCCTGGAATTCTGGCTATCATTGCAACGGGAGGTAGTAATTTAGAATTTCTAAACACCCAAGAGGTAGGAGACCTTTAATAGGACCCACAGTTCTCTCACTCAGTGACACACGTCAGTGATAAAGACTTCACTGCAATCTAATCACAATGAAGGAAGAAAAGAGGATACTTAAGTCTCTTGAGTCAATGTTACAGAACTGGGGGCAACACAGGCCAAGAAGGGAGCCAACAAAGAGCAAGTGTGAGCGCTCTGTTTTTTCATCTTCCCACTTTTCACCTGTGGGCCTCCTTTACATCTGCCTTTCCCCGTTCTCACTGCAAATTTTGCAGGAAAAGTTGCATGGGTGGCGTGCTGCCACTGCTGTAACACCAGCACTGCTTACGGACCCTCAGCTCAGATGTAAGACGGACGACTGTATGACACAGCTTTGTGCTGTTCTAGACATGTGATGATGGAATTTGGGAAAACCAAGACTTTCGATTTTCCTGCCACCATCCTGGGCATGTATGCATCCAAGTAGTATACCTTTGTCTGATTTAAAAAGCTGCTATTTGCGTAGGTTTCAGTTTCATTAAAAATTACTAAATGAGTTCTGGCTTGGAATTAGGACAGAATTTCCAACAACCTCTGAAACGGCCCTAAATATTCGTCTGCCATTTTGTACTCTGTATTCATGCAAAGTGGTGTTCTCAGACTGCTGACCATAAAATCAAAATATTGATCAAGTTGGAAAAACATTAAAATGCTTTCTACCTCCCGAAGTATCAAATATTCAACCAAGATTTAGTTCTTATGTAAAAATCAATAAGAACATTGATTTCACTAGTATGAAAACCTGTTTGACTCTTTAAAGAATGGTAAATTTATATACAATTTTTTTTTAATTTCTTTAATATCAGGTAAATGTTTAAATTGTACACCGGTTTTACATACCTGCCACTGCTATACATACCCAAGTCAGACATATCTCTCAGGTGTAAAGGAGTCATGAGTGGAAAAAAATTTAAGCAGCTGACTTAAATAACACTGTATACCTAAAGCAGCTGGCAGCATGCCTGTCCCAGGCTCGGTGCTCAGTAAATGGGGCCAGCTTCCGCTTATGGTGCTTATGGTTTTAAACATCACAGCACTCACTAACCAGAGTCCTTGGACATAAAATTGAAGTTTGTGAAACCACTGGACTTCCTGAAGACTAAGGACCAAGCACCACATCAGTACTGAAGCATTCATTCTCTTTGGCCATCAGCACGTAATTTCCTAACCGTAGCAACTCTTTATGAACACATACACTACAGTGTGTTTATATGTCTAGTGACCTCTAATTTACTCATACAGACAGTCTGTTCTTTATAGGTGAATGTACTGAAGGATCTGGCCTGGACTGAAAATAGACTTAAGTGGCTGACGTACCCAGGAAAGGACTTATGGACCACTCTTCTTTACTCATTAAAAAAAGAAAAATCCACTGATAGTTAAACAAAAATGATCTGTGCTTATCTTTAATCATGTTACATTCCCCCTTTAGTGGTATAAAGTCTGTGCTGATTTCTGTAGGATGGAAACTGTTTTTGATATATGGTTACATAACAGCAGCCAACAGTAAGAGCAACTGGTATTATATGAAATGAGAAAAAAAAAAAAAAAACATAACAGATTTTCATTAAAGTAAAGATGTCTGAAAACCATCTTACCATGTAGGATTGTCTTCTCCTCCCCAGGCTTCTCTTCTTCCTGCTTGCCTTTTTTCTGCCTCTTCGCCGTGATTTCATCCAACTCCTTTTGTTCTTCCTAAGGAAGCAAAGAAGTGAACTTCAAAATGAGTGTCTGAAAATCTCATCATGCGCACTGTTGGTTATATATTCTTTATAATGAGGTTCACAAATATGTCTCCTAGGACAGCAATGGCAACTCTTCCACAACCAGCGATGACTACCTCTTAAACAGATCACAAGATGACATCAAACACATGCTCAACAGTATTTTTAAACATACACTTCTGTTACACCTAGAAATAAATGTAACACGTTATGCTAATTATGCAAATGAAAAGCCAGGCCGTCAGAAAATCTGGTATCAGTAAGGATAATGAGTTTTAGAACACAGTGTTGTTTTCAGTGAGTTGCTTTTACAATGTCAAGAGCAACAATTATGGATTTTAGACCAATATTTTTAGAGATATCTGGAAAGAGAAGACAGCAAAACAGCAAATCCATATCTATCATAAACCAGTGTAGAAGTAAAATCTAAAGGAAGAGAGCAGAACATACATGCCACTATGCTATACAGATGTAAGGCACAGCTAGAATATAAGCTTTATAAGGACAAAGTTTTCTTGATCTTGTCTATCACTGTGTTCCAGAACCTGGAACAGTGCCTCATTTCAGAGACAGTGGGTTACAGAGGTGGGGAAGAATTCTGTAGTTTTATTTTATAAACTTCACAGGAATCTTTTAAAAAACAAAGGATAAAACTGAAAAAATTTAAAACAAATTAGTAAGTAAAGACTATTACTAATTCCAGATGACAGCAAGGCTGACTCTGTCGTGACAGTCTGTTAGGGATCGAAGGACAGCAAGCAGGGCAATTTATGAGCATTAGTAAGGGCAGTTTTATTTAAAAAAAAAAAATGGTTCCATATTCTACATTAGGCAAAAGAGCATAGGGGAAAACAACAGAAAACAAAAAAGGTAAACAAATATTGTAAAGATTATATTTTCTCAGTCAGCTAAGGCTGAGAAATTCTGATGAGTCATGGGTTCTCAAGGGAAATCTCACATTTATCAACACAGATATGATTGGTAGAGACACAGTACACATTGGAACTGACAATGAAAACATCAAAGCTTACTTCTGAAGGTTTCGCTACATCTTTTTCATCCACATATTTTGCCCACGGTCCCAAGAAACCATCAATATTAGATGCATCATTTTCTTTGAACTTTTTCCTTTTTTCTGTTTTCTTCTGACCAGTTTCAAATACAGTTAAACCTACATTAACAACAAACATAAGCTGTAAGTAAGCAAGCCTGTTTTCTTCTGAAATACCAGCACAGATGACTTTATATGGTTACAGCGAGTCTAAGCAACTAAACGTAAAATGCCTGAATCTGCCATATTCTTGCCGACAAAGAGAGAGAGACTTATTATTATTTATTAAATGTATTATTGTTCGCTTCAGAAGGAGTGAGAGAACAGCTGCCACTTGACAGGAGACCCGGGAAATAAGGCACCCCACCAGGTTGCTAGTCTTGGGCTTTGAAAGACTGATGACAGAAGCTGGGGGAAGAGGGGGAGCTGAGGAGCTGCTCAGTCCAGGCGCCTTCTTAATCAATCAAAAACCAGTACTGGGGGCCTTTCTGCTTTGTTCTCAGAGACCAGGTCTCATGTAGCCTATAGTAGCTTTAGCTGGGATTATAGGTGTGTATCATCATGACCAGCAAGATACAGCAACACTGAAAACAAAAATAAACTGTAATTTATCATTTAAAAATGGAACTACAGCAAATGCTCAATAATTTATTTTCACTTTCTGTGTATACAACAGTACAAATTAAACAATGTTTCATAGAATCTGGTATTACTCCCACAATACCATATGATGTATGATGCATGGCTTCCACATGATGTCAGTCTAAACTCGGTCTCTAATATCATCAACCTTAAACAGAATTAACAAAGTATGATGTTTCTTATTTTGATTTCATCAGTAGGTGAAGGCTGAATACTGTTTGCACCCACTAAATGTCAAGAAATGTTTGAGTGTCATATCACAAGCTCAGAATCTAGTTATATATTTAGGGGAAGAGGTGTAACTGAAAGAAAACAGACCATCTATATGAACTCAAAGCAGTTTCCATTGGGCTGCTTGTTACAACAAAGAATTAAAATTCTACTTCAATACTAATTCACACACTCATAATAAGGGATTATCCTTGCGTAATTAGTACATTTTATTTTAACAGCATTTTATAAATAAGACTCCAATATTCTGAGGAGCTTTGAATAAAGGTGGCCTTTGGGTTATAATGGCTTGTTTTATTCTAAGTACTAAGTGAATTTGAACATAAATATGTATTAAAAGATATTGAAAATCTGCTATTTAGCAATTTGTCATAATTATTTGAACAGACATCTAGTACAGAACGTTTTCTGTTAAAATGTGGCTTGACAGTTGCAAGGCCAATTGTCAAAGTTACCTATCCATTAATTGAAAGAATGAGTTGTAGAGGTTGGCATGGTGCCAAGTTTTCAGGCCACACCACCACCTTCCCGATGAGACTGAGCAGCTCAAGTGGCCAGAGTGAGTCGAAAAGAGTTCCACACTTCCCTGCTGTAGCCTGTATCTTTCTATTTCTTCAACTTAAAAAAAATCAGGAGCTAAACAAAATGCTCGCTTCACCTACTGATTGATGACAGCCAAGTCATACTTATAAATATCTGCTCTGGGTATCTTACCTTGATTCTTCTCAGCCTCTTCCACAGAGCCAATATACTTAGCAGACACTTGATGGTTATCCAGTGAGGGGTCCAGTGCATAGCCTGAAAGCAAAAGGCACAAATGACTGGCTCCTCTCCTTCAGCTTTGCTGTAACTGCCCATCAACACCCACTTCATAGTCCCCTTTCCAGAGAACAAAAAAGTGTCCCTAAGGGCTAGGCCTTCCTTTCTTGGTTCCATATCTATTTATAAATGCTTAAGCCCCATGTCAGACTGAACCAAGAAAGATTTGAGAAGAGGAAGCAGTATTCCATAGGACGAACGTAACAATCATTGTAGCACCAAGAGCATTTCTAGCTGTGAATTCAAAGTTCAGCTTCAAATTCTTTTGGAGCTTAAGAAAACAGGTGTACTATGTGTTCAGAAAGTTAAGAGCTATTTCCTTTTCCTTCTGTTAATCGATATTACAGGTACAGCATTAATTATTAAACTGATAAAGAAACAGAATGAGAAAGTTATATATAATATACTATTGTATTGTATTTATAAGATACTACATAGCTATTGCTTGGAAAATATCCTTCTTAGTAAGGGCAGTCTCCAGTCTTAAACCACAATTCTTAAAAGCAACCCTTCAATCAGTCACATAGTCCATAGCTGCATGTACTAATGGTCTTCACTGGCCAAAGGGAACCAAAGAAACAAACATACTCATTACCCACATTCAAATTAGATTTGTTTCAAGATGATGTGCTATTATAATACATTTTTGCTAAAATTATTCTTCATAATAAAGTAACATTCATGAAAGTGAGCCAGATCATCAGTCTATGTCCTATAGTCCATGTCAACAATCATGAAAAGCAGAACTGTACTTTTTAAAGGGCATACCAGGGGATAGATTTAACATTTATTTTTATTTTTGCGGGTGCAGAGCAAAAGGAATTTCTTCGGGGAAACATAAAAGAGATTTGTTATGAAGTATTCCTTTAAAACAGGCCAAGGATACAGGAGTTCAATTCATCCTTACAATATATCAGAATAGAACCAACCGTCTGGATATTAGGTCATTTGCATATAGTTTTCTCTCCTTTCCACCAGTAAAATATGTTCTTAGCCAGAGGAAAGACTTGAGGTCAGAAAAGTGACATTGGAGTATAATCTCTGAAACCACAGGCTCAAATATCATGACTTACTTTAGGTTCTTAGGGGTGTAATGATAGAATTAGGATTACAACCATTTCAAGAATGATTCCCAAGAGGAAAAATAGCAAACTACATTGGAAACTCAAAATGGAAAAGAAGCTTCAAGATCCAAGAGAATATTGAAGAACTATAATGTTTGTACATGAACTATGTGATAATAAAAGACTTTTTATAATCTTTGATATTAAAAAAAGATTGTGAGCTACAGACTAACTGATGATCTGGCTTTCTTTCTGTAATTCACTGGGTTATTATGAGGGCTGATTGTTTCCAAGCATTTATTAAGTGGGTGCTGGGCGTGGGGAAGCTCTACTGTGAGCGCATGTGGGTAGATGTTCTCTTCCTAGGTTCTCTGGGGCCACTGAGACCACAGCGGCCCACAGCACACAGTGTATTTGGGATGCTCGGCACACAAAGCACGTGACTTTTGTAGCTATGAGCCTTCACCTCGAACTGAGCCGCTTCTCCAGCCCTGTGAGCCAGATTCTTTAAGGAGACTTTTATGAGGCTTATGCAGAATTCAGACCCACACAGTCCTATGTTTCAAAGCTTCCACTTCTGGCATAAAAACGTAGCAAAAGTACAATGAAAATGAGCTTTGTGTTTATATGAATGGTACTTCATGGCATTGCAGGGGAACAGGGATGGTGTTTCTGGTCATCCTTGTTCTGTGTAAGTACCAGTTCCCGGCTCAACTGGCCAGTCTTGGTCCCTAGGAAAGACTTTAGGCCCTGCGTTAGAATCTTCCCTCAGCACTTCCACCATCCCCTCAGTTGCCCTGCACGCCAGGTGATGAGGAGGTTGCAGAATCTTCCTTTCACAAACAAGGTAGACCAGAACATCTAGACACGTACCCTACCATAAACCACCAGCGATAGGACAAGACCTAAGTCGAACACTATAGGATCTCAGCTCAAGTAGTTTTCTATTATCTGTTATCTGTATCTCAAAAATTTAATATACCTTTCATTGTTGTTTTAAGTATGCTCACATATCTTTCTGAAGCCTATTTTCCATTTTGCCTTTTCAATGGAGTTGTTGTTAACGTTTTTCCCTTTTGGTAGTCATACTTAAAATGGTTGTAACACTAATTGTATTATTATACCCTTTGGTTATAAAAAATTAGTTATTGTAGGTGAATCAAAAGAAACAACAATTTGCAAAGGATTACTTAAAAATATACATAAAAACTTTCAATTTAATTACTAGCACAGAAAATCAAAGTGAAATAGAGACATACTAATTTTGATTATCATATGACAAAGAAAAAAAAAATCAATCACACATGTCCTGGGTAAAAGTACAGCTTTTGTACATGGCCTTCATGTTTATCACATGTTGGAATAAACTTCTTCAAAAACAACTTGATAATGTGCCATGAATTTAAAAACACACAGTCTTTGATCTACTTTGGAAATTTATTTATGAAAACAATAATAAAGTAAGCTTTATACATAAGAATATTCACTACTATATTTTAAGAATCATCTTGCTGTATAACACACAAATTGCATTTTTACTATTGCAAAATGGAACCAACTTGAAATCTAGTATTTCAAGGATTTTTTACAGAAAGTATTCTAGCAGACTTTAATTTCTAAAAATGTTAATTGATATTAACATGATGAATGCATGTTAATGACTATGATGAGACTAATGGCATTTACTTAAAATTCTACTCTCTCATTCCTAAGACTGGTGAACAGAAAACTCTGAGTGAAAGTCAAACAATGGGAAGAGCCCTTATGGGAAGCCTCCTCCTCCCTCTAAGATCAGCAATAAACCAGGCTAGGAACTCAGGAAGGAAAGGAAGCAAACAGGAAGAGAGAGTTTACACAGACACCACGTACTAGAGCAGGAGAGATGTCGTCAACAACAGGAGCTAAAAGCTCAACGATAAAGCAAGGAATTGGGCTACCAGAGTAAATGACACTAGTTTCACTGGTAAGGACTCCACAGGTTGGGTCCAGCATAAACACAATGCGTTGTGGAGTATAAATCAACCCGGAGTCACTTACTGAGATAGTAGGACTAATGTTTGTTCTTTACCTCAGAGCTAGGAGATGCTGCTCAGGTAAAACTGAATCTATGTGTCATCTTCTTAGCCCCGTCTCACACAGATAACAGTGGCACAGGATGTAAGGAAGGCTCTTCTCTAGTACTTTACAAATGAGGGGCAGTAACATGAAACCTATATTTATTCTTTGTATACGAGTGAAAACTTCATAGTGCATAGCCTAGGCGTCTCGACCGTAAGTCAGGTTAGACCTATCTGTTCTTTTGGTTTCCAGGCTGCTTCATATACTATAGCTACACTCTTACTTTTTATGTCTGTCTTTAACCCCCTAACTAGTACAGCCTTTGCCCTAGCCCACTGCTACCTCCAGGTAGAGGCAACACATAATGGCCCTTTTATTTTCTCTGTCTATCTATCTATCTATCTATCTATCTATCTATCTATCTATCTATCTATCTATCTATCTATCTATCTAGAGACAGGGCCTATAGAGCTCTCTATAGGAGGTCCTGGAACTTATTATCTAGACCAGGCTGTTCTTGAACTGACAGATACCCACTGCCTCTGCCTTCCAAGAGCTGAGATTAAAGGCATACAAACACCATATTTTCAAATAAGTCCATTCCCAAACTAAAGCAAACTTGTCTTGTAAATGCTATTCTTGCTATCCAGAATTGGAGAGTGGAGTCAATATACACATAACTTATTACTATTATTTTAATCTTGCTTTGTTTTAAAAGGAGACTTAACCTATCTAAATTATTATATATGGCCACCTAAAATCTATGAAAACAAAAACTTTAACTCTCTCTTAGTGGCGGCTAGAATATATAAATTCACAAGTTTTTGGTTTTGTTGGGGGTGCTTTGCCTGCGTGCATGTCTATGCATCATGTGAGCGCCTGGGACTACAGAGAAGAGGGCTTTGAGACCCCTGGAAGATACAGTTACAGACAGTTGTGAACGACCATGTAGGTACTGGAAATTGAACCCATGCCCTCTGTGAAGAGCAGCCAGCATCCCCCAACCCTTCGCCCAGACAGAGTGTCTCTGTGTAGTGCTGGCTGTCCTAGAACTAGCTATGTAGACCAGCCTGGCCTCAAACTCACAGAGATCCACCCGTCTCTGCTTCCCTCCCGAGTACTGAGATTAAAGGTGTGTACCGCCACTGTCCAGACATGCAGCCAGTATTCTTCACTGAGCCATATCCCCATCCCTCATGATACACTTTTCAATGTGTCACACTTCACTATAGGCTTACAATGGACTCCGTAAAGAAGCAATGGGTACAAAGTGAATCTGTAACCATTTTATTGGACTAGAGGTGTCTATGCAGTCTTTTATGATGGTTTTAGTAGTATGTAGTCCTTTTGGTTGCTGTCTTTGAGACAGGATCTCATGCAGCCCAGGTTGGCCTAAACTATGTACCCAAGAATGACCTTGAACTAAAGATTCCTAGGCCCGTTCTTCTTGGAACTAAGACTACAGGCATACATGACTATATTACCTGGGTTATGTTGTGCTGGTGACTGAACCAGGGCCTCGTTCATGCTAGGCCAGCAGTCAATCGCCTGAGCTACATTCCCAGCTGGTCTGTACTTTCCACTGTGACTGCACACGTGCCACAGTGATATATAACCTAATAATATAGAGAGGAGGGCAAGGCTGCCATGCCATGAGGAGGAGGTCGCTGTGGAGGAGTCACCATGGGGACAAGGTGGAGCAGAGGTGGCAAGGACGAGACTAGAGGACAGCTAACAGGGTCCATGGCTGGGAAGTAGGTCTGACTAGCATAGCTGAGTTAGAATAGATTGATATCTGCCCAGTCATGGTGCCTGAAGCTTATTATAAATGTTAACATGTCTCCATCTCATTATGTGGGAGCTAGAGTGGGCACAGAAAAAACCCCCTAGTCTGACATTTGATGAGAGAATATAGTTACTTTATATTATGGATTTGTTACTATATACTGGCTAATATTCTTTAGTAATCAAGAGAAAATATTTAAAAAATAAGATTTGAGAAACAGAATAAGTTAAATAGTATATAGGATGATGAATGTAATTTTTCACGCTGTATTTTCATTAACAACTTAATAATAATCTGTATGTGATAAAGATTTAATAACACATGTTCATTACTGAATGTAGTGACAAGGAACATTCTGACAGAAGGACCACAGATTATTTTCAGTACTGAGAAAAAAAATCACAGGATTTAATAGAAAAGCTCAATATTCCAGGATACTTCCCATTCAGTATTTATAGGAATGCATAATAAGGTACATTGCCTCTTTGATGAAATCTAGAAGAATAAATTTAGGAAGCAAGAAGACAAAACCAGTCACGGCACACATTACTCAAGCTATTAATAAAGCCGAACTTACAACTGTTTGAGTTCTATCATCACCTTACCGTAAGTGGCAAATGTTCTTCTTTGCTGTTCAAACATGAAGTCATTGATATGTGCTGGCTCGGCGTATCCAGAAAGCATATTTCTAGGAGCAGCCATTTGCTGTGTTCTAAAGGGATTTTCTGGTCCAAACTGCAATGTTATAAGGAAGGAAAAGAAGGTTACTGAAATTACTGTACAATGTATTTTCAACTCTAAACCATCGGGGGCTGACTGACCTATTTGGGATCATGCCTGCTGTAATGGTTCTGTGTAATGGCTGATTAGCTTTTGCCAGCCCCTGGGACAGAAGAAGACCGTAGCTCACGTAAGTCCACGTGTGGACATTTATTTCAAGAGCTGCATGTTCATACTGCAGGAAGTCTTATTTGAAGGCACTTCTCTGGACAAATGAGAATTACTATAGATTTTTCTAAATCACGACTTGGGATTTGGGTGATATTTTGTCAATGATAGCATTGAAATACAGCTTTTGTTTTAAAAGCCATGTTTTTCGTCCATTTAGGAGTTCCTCAAAGGTAGGGACTCAGAATCTTCTACATTCACCACGGTGCCTGGCAAACACAAACTACAGACATCATTAATCAAAAATCAATCAGAATCCTTGTGGAGGCACAGCACAGAAACAAACTAAAAATTAAGTGTTTGAAACAGTCTAAGAAGAGAGATCACAAATGTAAATAAAACTTATCCACTCTGAGAATTCACATTCACAAACAAAACAGTGGCTTTAATGTTGTAGCCTTCCAGAATTGTTTTCCAAATGTTGATTCGTTTTGTACAAAAATGCTGAAAAGTTAGACAGGTGATCTCCTCTGCCACATATAAAGAAGCCTAAGATGAGGCATTTTACCTGTTCTAGGGCCAAGTTTTATTACTTGTAAAAACTAAGACTACAACAAACCTAAGGCAAACGTCTTACTACCTTAAGATATTGCCTAAATGTACAACCTTAAAGCCTAACTTGTAAGACACTCAGTTAAGAAGTACCACAATATGCTATGTTAACCCTATTAAATAATGCCATTATGAAAGATCCTGGGAAAATCACTCTCTGAGACAGGGCTTCAGTCTGTGTCCCAAGCTGTCCTTGAACTCCTTGCAATATTTCTCTCTTAAGTTCTTGATTTCTTGTTTGTATTTATGAGTGTTCACTCAGCAAACTTAATACTTTTCTTCATTATTGTTTCGTTTCACAATATAGCCCAGGCTGGCTTAGGAATGCTTTCGAGGCCACAATGGCCTTAATTTAGCAATCCCCCTGTCTTCACTTCCTGAGTGCTGGGACGGTAGGCACACACCATCACACCTGGCACATAACAATATTTATGTAAATACTGGAACACCCATGGTTCCTCATAAAATATTTTGATATTAGAACATCTCAGGTTATTGTCTTTATGCCTAAAGATACAAATGTCAATTCCTGCTCCCCAACCAGTTCTGGGTCTTCTCATTGTACTGTGCATGGAAAGTTATAAATTTAGCTGTCAGATTATTTGCCTAACATATTTTTTACATTAGAGGAAAATAAACCACTACATGATTGCTGTAGACTAGTAACTTGTATTTCTGCTTAAAATGCTCAATTTTCTACAAGGTTTTTAACTGCTAACTCATTCCAAATTATAAAGGCCAAAGCAAGACTTTGTAGCCCACATGTGCTAATGGAACACAGGAAAAAACAATGCAGACTGCTGGACATTGTTGACAACTTCATTTATTCATAAAATTTACAATGAACAGAGAGAGCCACAAAATGAGAGGTAAGAATATGGCTGACAGCTCCTAAGATGCAGCCCAGCACACTCACCACCTCAAAGCAGATCTGGTGCTTCTTGAGTCCGGAAGGGGGAGGGAATGTAAAACGACAGAATCCCTACTGCCCCCGAGGGCCTCTGAGCACATGCGATAAACTACCGCAGCGCTCACAGCGCTCTCCTTAGAGAAGGAACACCCGCCTTGTAAGAAGTGTACAGTTCTACAGGCTGTGCACATCAGATTCACTGCGCTAGTTACAGGCCATCCTTAGCATCAAGTATATACACAATCACATTCACTAACGCTGAGTATATTCCACGTGTGCTGCCGTGCCTGCAACAATCTTAAAGTCTAAATAGCTCAGAGATATCTGGGGGACACAACAAAAAATTCTTCTTGTACTATTAGGAGGCTGTGGTGGAGGAGGCCCATCTACTTTAGGCCAACCTAACTGCCCGGGAACTGGCAACTATTTAAGCTCACCTTAAAAACACAAAATGAGGCAGAGAACACTGCTCGGTAGGGCCCTGTTCTAACCGTTACTGAAAAAGCTGCCCAGATCTCCCGGTCTCTGAATATGCACCTTGTTTAATTCTTGAACAGCCATTTTCAAAAGTATATAAAAGGATAGACAGCAAATTCAAATTTTCTTTTCATGTTTTAGTAGCTAAGTTTAAGGTTTGGATATGAAGTGTCAACCCCCACCCCTCAAAAGAATTGTGTTGGGGACTTAGTCCCTGGCTGGGAGTGCTCTCTTAGGGGGCTCTGGAAACATTCTGTGGTGGCCCCGAGCTGCAGAATGTGGCTGGGCACAGGTAGACTCCAGAGGCTATTTTGCCCTTGGCATCCTGCTTAGGTCCCCTACCCACACAATCCTGCCGCCATAAATTCTGTCCAAGTTCACGGGGCCAAACAACCATGGAATGAGTTGAAACCATGAGCAAACAAACAAACAAACAAACAAACAAACAAAAAAATCGAGGGCTGGAGAGATGACTCAGCTGTTATGAGCACTGTGCGTTCCTTCCTGCAGGACTGGGGTTCCATTCCCAGCCCCCCACATGGTGGCTCACAACCATCTGTAACCTCAGCTCTCGGGAACCCAATGCCCTCCTCGGACCTCCACTGGTACCAGACACACAAGTAGTACACTGACATAAATGCAGGCAAAAAAAAATAAAAAATAAAACATAACAAAACCCCTCCCTCCCGTAAACTGTTTATATCAGAAATTTTGGTTATAGGAATAAAAAGCAAACCAATAAACTAATTTTAAGAGTTAATATGTTCAAGAGACTTATAGCAATTTATACCAATATACTAGTGAATGCACAGCAAGCATCTGTACATGAATATATAATAAATTCACATATCAAGTTAATTAACTGTGAGTGTTAAGTTTTCAGTTAAAATTATATCAGAGTTCACTATAGTTAGCTGCAATTGTAATCTCCCTACATAATATTTAAAATGTAAGTAAGAAACTATTCATATTTGCAAACCATATACTGATAAAGGGTTAATATTCCAAATACATGGAGATTTCAAACAGATCAACAGCAAGAAAACAAGTAACTGATTAAGACAAAGGGCCATAGCAGCCATATTTAAAAAAGACAACATGGACAGTATGTAGATGAAAAAATGTTCAACATCAGTAATCAGAGAAACATAAATTAAAACCTCAATGAAGAACCACTTTACCTCTGTCAGAACAGCCCTTTGCTTATCAAAGACAGAAGTCCATGAGTGTTGGTAAGGATGGGAGTAAGTAATTCATGCACATTGTTGAAGGGAGTGCACATTAGTACCAGATCCTACGCAACACAACATGAAGGGTCCTTAAGGTTGAAAACCACAACTGTTATGTGACCTACCAAAGCTCTTACTGGGTATGTACTCCAAGGAAATGAATGAAATATGCACTCCCATGTTCACTGCGGGTTATGTGCAATGGCCAAAGGGTCTGTCTATCAACTAGGTGGTGCAAAAAAAAAAAAAAAAAGAAGAAGGGAGGGGGGTGGGAAGGCAGGCTGTGAGTTACAAGATTGGAGCCGCTCTGATTTATATAGTGAGTTCCAGACCAGCCAGAGCTACACAGTGAAACCCCTATCTAACCACCCCTCAAACAAACCACCCTTAGAAAAAACTGTCATTTGTGACAACACAGATGAGTCTGGAGGATACTGTGTTAAATGAGATAGCTATTGTATTATCTTACTAATATGCAGAACTGAAAAAGCTGCATGTTATATTAGCCAGAGTTCTCCAGAGGAACAGAACATATTATATATATGGGGTGACTTATTAGGATGGCTTACAGGCTGTGGTCAAGCTAGTTCAACAACGGCTGTCAATCAACAGAAGGTCCAAGAGTCCAAATTGTTTATTCCACAAGGGTGGATGTCTCAGCTGCTCTTCAATATGCATCAGAATCCTAAAGTAGGCTTTAATGCCAACGAAGGATGGACTTGCCAGCAAGAGCAACAGCAAGAGCTAAAGCGTCCTTCTTCCATGTCCTGCATACAGGCTGCCACTAGAAGGTGTGGACCAGATTAAAGATGGATCTTCCCACTTCAAAAGATCCAGATTAAAGGTGTATCTTCCCACTTCAAATAATTTAGTTAGAAAAGAAAAAAGAAAACTCTGACAGGTCTGCCCAGCTGCTTGAGTTTTAGTTAATTCTAGATGCAGTCAGGATGACAACCAGGAACTGAAAGCAGAAAGAACAGTTTGTACCAAGGGTAGCAGGTTTATGTGACGGTGACACTGGTCAAAGGGTAGATTTTAGTGATGGGAGGGATGAACTCGAGAACCCCCGTGGAGCTTTCTGAATGACAATGGCTTCTAAGAGAAGCAGCCTGACATCTTCCAACTGTGCTGAATTTATATAAAGTGTTGATTTATGTAGAGTGGGGAGAAACATTCTTAATATCCTCAGAGATTTGCTTATTACAAGATATTCTTAAGCTGAGCAATGGTGGCACACTCCTTTCTTTTTCCTTCCCTCCCCCCCTTCCTTCTTTCCCTTTTTTGAGACAGGGTTTCTCTGTGCAGTTCTGGCTATCCTGGACTCACTCTGTAGACCAAGCTGGCTACATCCAGCTTGGGACACTCTAATCCCAGCATTTGAGAGGCAGAGACAGGTGGATTCGAGTTGGAGTGCCAGGATAGCCAGGGCTACACAGAGAAATCCTGTCTTGAAAAACCAAACCAAACCAAACCAAACCAAAAACAACAACAAACCAAACCCCTCCTCCGTAAAAAACAAACAAACAAACAAACAAAACAAAACAAAAAAAACCCCAGCTCTCTGAAGTCTTCAGGAGCTGCACTATTTCAGCAGTGTTTTATAATGTGACTGGAATTAAGAAAATGAATACTGGTAAAACAGATTATATGAAATCACAACTATAACTTTATATACAAGGAAAACTCACATTGGTGAACTAATATTGTAGCTATTGCATAAATGTCTAAAACTTGTAAACATATTTTAAAGTGAGAAGAATTTACTTACTGATTATTTTCTACAAATCAGGAAAAGATCATGACTCCGTTTTGTGGGTAGAATAATTTTGTAAGATGTATGTGAAGTGTGACAATTATACAGAACACTTCACTGCTGCCACTGACAACCTTGGGCTCAATCTTCTCATAAGACTGAGAAGCCACAGTATTTCTAAAGCATTAATATTTATGCAGCTCTTATGATTAGATTTTTTAATAGCAACTACCATTTGTTCTCTGAATTTAAACGCACACACACACACACCAGTTTAAGGGGTCTGGAATTCTTCCTGAGTCGAGTGAATTTAAAGAAACTAATAAATAATTTACTTCTAAGAAGCTGAAAAAGGACCTAGTCAAGGAAGAAAGCTGCTGGACTAAACACTATTATATTTTCAACTTTAGTTTATAATTTGAACAAATGATTCTGCATTAATAGGCATACGATCTAAGAAAAGTTGTTGGTTGGAACAACAAAAGAGGCAATGTGGTTGACTTTCAGAGTTAGCAAAGTCTTAGGACAGCACCATGCAGATTACACAGCGGCCTTCAAATGCTTCTTCCAGTTACTGAGGGGTAATTAATAATGATCTAGACTTGAGTCCCAGAAAAATTACCTGATGGCAGATGGGTTTCTATTCTACAAAAAAAGGGGGAAGAACACTTACTTATAGGCTTAACAAGTACAAAAGGAGCAAAAGTATGTCAACACCTCAGTTTGTATGTGTATATGATTTTAAAAAGTGGTAGTTTTATCTCACCCATCAGTCTCTTTTTCTGTTCTTTTCTTATCATTCAAACCCTAACCAGACATTTAGTCCTAAAAATTCAATTTTGATGATATCATTGCTCCATTTCAGAATTCCGTGTGTCTATCATCTATTAAAACCAAAGTCTCCCCTTGGCTCCCAAATCCTTGCACTACTGTGGTTTGATCTCCCTAATCACGATGACAGGTTCTGACTAAAGCACTCCTGTTCTTCAGGACTTTTGATGTAGCTTCAGCATTGTGCCTGTATTCCTTCCCCATAAAAGCCTACCTGATCCTCAGTGCCCATGATGACAGAAATAACATAAACTTCCATCTGCTAAATGCCTACTCTGTGCCAGCATTTCCCAGCACACCGTGCATTAGCTCGTGTAGTCAGTAACTCAGTATAGTAGACATTACCTTTATTTTAACTATGAGAAAAAGCTAAGAACATCCAAGGTCTCCCAAAAACAAACACACAGTCTCATTCCAAATTTCACCTTCTAAACCTGGACTGTATTGAAGTGGACTGCCCACTTCAAATATGACTTTTATAGAGAAGTACCTGTCTCTCCAATCAGATGCAAAGTCTCCTGAAACTTGTGATGGTGAGCTATAGTTAGAGAAAGAAAAGAGCCCAGACTCTAGACGACACAGCACACCATCTGTCAAATATCAGGTTGAGGAGAGGGATTATATTTTGGTTCTAACACTGGATCCTCAGCATTTAGGGATTTGAATTGAACCTTAATGTCCTGGCAACACCTTTCCAGACTTTTCCAAGTGATTTGGATTCTAGTCATAAGAGACAAAGTTCACAATCTGTTATATCACAGATGATTGCTTCCTTGGTAATTAGGAAAGATTCTAATTCTGCTTCCAAGTATCCTTTCTTAAACTTTAACATGAGTGGGATTGCTAACATGAACAAGTTTACGTGTTAGTGAAGGCTCCTTAGCATGAGGAAGGGACGGAAGTAATGACTTGCCAATATCATTACATAATCAATTCATTCGTTTAGTCTTTTGATTGAAAGTTAAAAATATAATTCTCTAGCAATATTACAGTTAATAATAAGAACTCAAAAGTTAGAAAAAAGCAGAGCTTGTAGAAAATAAGCTGACATCAAAATGTTACACGCCACGCTGCTTTCAAATTTTCTCCTCCTCTGAATGCCAGTAAGCGCTATTTTACTGAAGCCCCTTTCATTTGTAGAAATCACGAGGCGTGCATGCACCAGCGCTCTCCTAGATGGGCCAGCTGAGATGTCACTCGGGGAGAGGAGACAGCTTACAGATGCAGGAGGTCAGCGCTGACACAGGGAAGATGTACAGTGCACAGGTCTCCGAGTGCCGGTACAGTTTACTGGGCTTCTACACAACAGCCAGAGCGGAGCGCTGTCTCACGCCACACCACAGTACTGACTGGGCCGCACATCTCCACGGCAACTGTTCAGATGCCTTGGGGAGCTAGGCGGGTGCAGTATGACGTCGCTCTGGGAGCCTGATGTGTCTGTGTGCTATGCAAAGAAAACTATTAAAAGCACCCCATTTTCCACCAATAATCAATAAGCGATAGCTCTTCATGTCTGCCTTCAAGAGATGTCTTAAGGATCCTGCTATTCAAACCTTTTTTTTGGCGGGGGTGGGAGTGTGTGCCTTATAATGACCATTTCCTGGCTTCTTCTTGTCAGTCACATGCCTTTTCCATTTTAATATTTAAGGATGTTAACTTCTTAAGTAAGCTTTCCTTAATGGACAGTGTTCAAAGACTCTAAGCAGACATGAGGAATTTTTCCTTCATTCCTTCCCAGTGTTCCCACTGCTACTTGTTACCACGTGGAAGAAGGAAAGAGTCCATGGAGCAGGCTGTTTCCCTCAGCAGCTGTGACTGTTCCAGCAAAGAGAGAAAGACAGAGAGAGAGAGAGAGAGAGAGAGAGAGAGAGAATGTGTGTGCGTGTGTGAGACACTGGAGAGACATCTGAGGTGGTCTCATAATATATACATTAATGTTAATAAATCATTTTCTTTGTGGTTAATTATAATATTCCCTTACTGATGCTGCAAGAATATCGAGTTCACAGTGAAGAGTTAGATATTTTCAGATTCCCTTTTTCAGAAGCCAGTTCCATATGAGAGGCCATTTGTATGCAGGCAGATGTGCAGCCAGTGGAATTTTAAAAGGGTTCTCATAAAAACTATTTAGGTTTTTAGAGACTAGAAGGTTATATTTTCTAAAACTTGTAGTACTATAGTTTTATGAGAAAAAAATTTAAAAACTCAATATCCATTTATCAACCTCTGTATAATTGAAAATACTCCATATAAGGGAGAACCCAGTAAGCTTTCTTACCTCAGGAGCGAACATGGTCTCATAGGTAGGATTATATTGAACTTCTTTGACAGCAGGGTCAAGGTGAACTCCAGTCTCCAGATCTTCCTAAAACAAAGCCAAATGGACGTTACAAATTTGCTAAGTGAGTATATATTTTAGGAGCTACATCAAAGTCACACCAGCATTTTAAATGTCTAACAGCTGACTTCATGACTATTACCTTAGTATCAAGCACTAACAATTGTAATAATCAAAGAGTAATGAAACACGTGTGTAGTAATACAATTTAAGACATAAAAAGACTAATTTCTTTTTCAACATACTAACTTTATTAACTAAATAAGTTAACAGTGCCCAAACACTTCAATGAAAAAGTTCTAGCTTCCTCACGCCATCTGCTGTGTCAGCCACCAATGCCTGGAGGCACTCTAGGAACCCACAGGGCTCTGCAGCCTGGGAATCAGGTAGGCAATCTTCACACTCCTTCCCATTCTGCATTTTCAAGTCCTCAGTCTCTTCCCATTCTGCATTTTCAAGTCCTCAGTCTCATCCCAGCCCTGCAGCAGACTACCTGTAGCGGCCTGTCTTCCCTTTCAGTTTCCACTCCCAATGGACTCTGCTGACCTTGGTGGTAGAGCCAGCTTTCCTCCTTCAGTGGACCCTCTCAGCCCTCACTTCTACCCATCCTCATTCCTTCTATTAACCTCCAATATCTAGAAACACCTTCTACCCAGGACCCCACAGTGGCCACTGGAAAGGAACTAGGAAGCACTCCCTACCAGACACAGCACAGCCACCACACTCTCCTAGGGAGCAGAATGTCAATTCAGAGCATGGCTGTTCTGGCAAGAGATCATACCCGAAGACCGGCTGGAATACGAACATGCCTTTCATCCAGGAGACAGGCAAGCAGATCTCTGAGCTCAAGACCAGCCTGGTATAGCGCAAGTTTCAGGTAAAGAAAAGCGTAGGTCCAGGTGTGATGGTACACACCTTTAATCCCAAGCAATGCAGATAAAGTTAGCTTGTAGAAGGAAAGTGTTTGAAAGTGATGTCTAAATGAATGGCAGAAACAGTGATGAATCAGAGAAAGACTTGACAGAATAGGATATGCCCAACTCTCATGAGAGGAAAGAGGAAACGGAAGCTACTTAAGGGGCAATGAGAGAGAGAGAGAGGAGAAGGCAATTTTACTGGGACAGTAGCAGAGAGAGAGGTTATATAGGGAGAACTCAGGTGAAGACAGGATGAACCAGAGAATGAGAAGGAGCCAGGAGATTAGAGCTGTTTGCTTGAGTTAGTTTGAGGCTGAGCAGAGCAATTCAGGGGCTGAAAAGAGGAGCCAGGTTGAGTAAGTGAGCTGGGAAGGAGTTTGAGCCAGAACAGCTGAGTTGAACTAGCCAGCTACAAGCCCAGAAAAAAACAAGAAACAGTGAACTTATTAAGCAGTAACTCTCAGAGGCTGAAAACATGCTAGGCCTAGATTAGATCATATGGAGGCTAGAAGCTTCCAGGACTGGGCCTAAGTTAGGCAGGAGGAGACAGTAAGCCTCAGAAACAACTGAACCAGGAGAATAAAAGCTACTTTCACACTCCTAAAAATCCCAGAAAACAAGGAAAGGAACACTCATCTGGACTCCATTGAGAAGTCAGGTGTAATATTAATATGTCTGTCTGCCTTTATACGTTGCATGGGCTTTCCCCTTGCAGCTTTTAATATTCTTTCTTCTATACATTTAGTGTTTTGATTATTGTGTGCTGATATTAACACCTGGGATCATAATCATCCAAACCCAGTGAGCATACATCACAGTAAAAACACAACCAAAACCGTTCAGGGAAATATGTTTCACCAGAGCCCAGCAACACTACTACACAGGCCCTAAGAAATGCAACACGGCTGAAGCACAAGACAAAAACCTCAAAACAGCTATCATGAATAAGTTAGAGGTCCTTAAAAAGGATATGAGTAAATCCATTAATAAAACATGTGAAAATACAAGCAGTGAATAAGCCGAAGAAAACAGTTCAGAACATGAAAGTAGAAATAGAATCACTAAAGAAAAAAAAATGAATTTAGGTATAACGAGAAATGAAAAATTCAGGAAGGCAAGCAAAAACCTCAAGAGGTAGCAAGCCTCAGCAACAGAATACAAGAGATTGAAGAATCTCAAATATTAAAGACAGAATAAAACAAATGGACACCTCAGTCAGAGAAAATGTTAAATCAAAAGAATCCAGGTACAAAACATCCAGGAAATCTGGGACGCGGAAAGACAAAATCTATGAAATAAAGGATTAAAGGAAGGAAAAGAAACCCAGGTCAAAAGCACAGACAATATTTTCAACAAAACCATAGAAGAAAATTCAGAACACCAAATAGAAAAAAACAAAAAACAAACAAACAAAAACAACAACAACAACAAAAAAAACTCCTCAGGACACATAATAATCAAAACACTAAACATTTTTTTTTTTTTAGGAGATCACATTTACCTTGATACCTAAACCACATAAAGACCTAACAAAGAAAGAGAATTATAGACTAATTTCCCTTATGAACACAGAAACAAAAATTCTCAATAAAATACTTGCAAACCAAATATAAGGCCATATTAAAACGTTCATGTAGCCGGGTATGGTGGTGCACAGCTGTGATCCCAGCACTCAGGGAGACAGGCAGGTAGGTCTCTGAATTTAAGGCCAACCTGGTCTACAAAGCGAGTCCAAGACAGCCAAGGCTACACAGAGAAACTCTTGTCTCAAAAAACCAAAACCAAAACCAAACAAATAAAAAAGTCATCTACCACGATCAAGTAGGCTTCATCCCAGAGATGCAGGAATGGTTCATCATACATACATCAATAAATGTAATCCACTGAAAGACAAAAGCCACATGATCATCTCTTTAGATGCAGAAAAGGCCTTTGACAAGATCCAACACCCTTCATGATAAAAGTCCTGGAGAGATTAGAGATACAAGGGATACACCTCAACATAATGACGACAATTTACAGCAAGCCCGTAGCCAACAGCAACCTAAATGGAGGGAAACTCAAAGCAATTCCACTAAAATCAAGAAGACAAGGTATGTACTCTCTCCATAGCTATTCAATTTAGTACTTGAAGTCTTCGCTACAGCGGTAAGACAACTAAAGGAGATCAAGGAGACGAAAATAGGAAGGGAAGAAGTCAATGTGTCTTTATTTGCAGATACAGCTGATAAACACTTTTTCAGCAAAGTAGCAGGATACAAATTATATACCAAAATCAGTCAGGCTTTCTATATACAAATGACATGGACTGAGAAAGAAATACCTTATTGCTTATTCAGAAAAACAATACCTTTTCACAATAGCCTCCATAAAAATATCTTGGGGTAACTCTAACCGAGCCAGTGAAAGCTTGTATAATAAAACTTTAAGACATTAAAAAAAGAAATTAAAGAAGATATCAGGATGGAAAGACCTCCCACACTCACGAAGTGGTAGCACTAATACAGTAAAAATGGCCACCCTACCAGAAGCAATCTATAGATTCCATATAATCCCCACCAAAATTCCAACACAATTCTTCCCAGAAATTAAAGCGACAATTTTCAGCTTCATATGGAAATGCAAAACACCCAGGATAGATAAAACAGTTCTGAATAATAAAAGAACTGTTGGAGGGGTCACCATCCTTGATTTCAAATTGTACTACAGAACTATAGTAATTAAAGCAGTATTAACATAAATCCTGATCAATGCAATAAAACTGAATACCACGACGTGTGTCAAGACACCTGGTTTTTCATAAAGAAGCCAGGAATACATGGTAGAAAAAACAAACAAAGAAAAAACCAGCATCTTCAACAACTGGTCAAACTGGATGGCTTCATGTACAAGAATGTAAATAAATCCATACTTATCATTCTGCACAAAACTCAACTCCAAATGGATCAAAGACCTCAGTGTAGGGCCTCTTATGGAACAGAAAGTGGGAAATAGCTTTGAACTCATTGGTACTGGAAATGACTTTCTGAAGAGAACACTTTTAGCACAGGCATTAAGAAAAACAATTAATAAATGGGACTTCATAAAACTGAAAAGCTTCTTATGTCAAAGGGGCACCATCATTAGAGTAGCAGCCTACAAAATGAAAACAGATTCTTACCAATTACACAGCTGATAGAGGGCTAATATTTAAAATTATAAGAGAACCCAAAAAGAATCAGACATCATGAAAGCAAGCAACCCAATTAAAAATTAGAGTACAGATCTAAACAGTATTCGCAAAAGAGGAAACACAAATGGCTAGGCCATACTTAAAGAAATGTTTAATATCCTTAGTCATCAGGGAAATGCAAATCAAAACCACTTTGAGATTTCATCTCACACCAGTCTGAGTGGCCAAGATCAATACAACAAATGACAGCTCTTGTTGGCAAGGATGCGGGGGTACACTTTGCTGCTGGCGGTAGTGCACGCGCTATAGAAATTGGTGTAGTGTTTCCCCGGGAAGCTGGGAATTGAGCTACCTCAAGTTCTAGCTATACCATTCTTGGACATATACTCGAAGGACTCTATATCCTATTACAGAGACCCTCGCACTCTACTTATAATAGCCAGAAATTGGGAACAGACTAGACACTGATAAAAGATGAATGGATAAATTATGGCACATTTTCATAATGGAATGTTATGAAGCTGTCAAAAAATGAAATCATGAGATTCACAGGGAAATGGATGTAGCTAGAAACAAAACAAAACAAAACAAAACAAAACCCTAGACTTCGTTAGCCACCAAATAACATCTCCAGTGCCAGGAATGAATTGCATCTAATCAAGCTGTTGGTGGAAGGGACCTCATGGAAACCCCAAACAACTCAAACTACTGCCAAAGTTATTGGTTGTTCTCTACAAACTGATGGTAAGGCCCTACTGCTGGAGACAACACCTACGTAACTCACTGGTCAGGGAAAAGTCAGCTGCTGCCTACTTAGAGCCTTCACCCCTAATGGCTAGTGTTCATGGTACTGACAGGTACTGTGCATGCTACCAGAAGAGAATGGTACACCCCAACCTAGCTACAAATCCTTCTATCTGCATTGGTTGCCTCCCTGA